AGCTAATGGTTAAATAATGTATAATATGTCATGCCAGAAATTTTATAATCTCAATAACGACGGTAAACATTTAGTTATATTATTTAAATCTCAAATAAAATATAATTATGTTTTAACAATGGCGCCATAAAATTTATTGTCAATTTTTAACTGTAAAGATGGACACATCTGCAGCATAATTGAATCTTTGTTAAGATTCTTCTGATTGCAACTGCACATTCTACATGTGAAATCATTCCTAAATATACCTCTGCCATTCATTATTGAAAATATTTTTTAAAATGTCACTTCTGTAATTACACTCTGTTTTTACCAAATTCACTCAGGCGTTATCAGATCAGAAAGCTGACATGCAATTTATTGATCATCTCGAATCTGATATATTTACCATTATGGTTAGGTATGTCTTTGGTTTTTTTACTATTTGAGGGGAAAATATTTAATAGTTTTATTGAAACGACGTTAATTTTGTTGAAATAGCGGAAGATCAAGAGAAATATTTTATTATTTCCCTTATTAGATGCATCTGTTAGAATAGCATATATATGTCTATCTTTCAAATCGTTAAGAATTGCCCTCCTGGATTTAGGTCTTAAAACATTAATGATAGCCTTGCTCATTTTTGTTCTACAAGTATAATTTTCATTTATTAGAGTCGTTATTATGGAAAAAAGATTCTACCAACATTGTGATGATAAGTATCTCTGTGAATGTTGTACTACAAGATAAGTACAATTGCCGCCACTGTAGTTTCATCTGTATTATATCTTATTTTGGAGTACCTTATTATGTATTTAAACGTGATAAGTGATAATTAAGCGCCTATCCCTATAATGTTATACACACACACGGTAGATTTCCAATTGCGGTCGTTTTGAGGGATATTCGCATAAAATATATTTTTAATTGTAAAATAAATCGTTTTTTATATTTAAAAAAGATCGTTGGTTTTTTTTATAAATTAATATATTTTAATAAATCAAGATGTTATTGTATTTTGAAAAATAGTTACTGACTTTATATTTATATAAACTAATTATAAAAAATAATAGGCGGATAATTAAGTCAATTCAAAATCCCGGCCGAAGCTGCCCGCAAAATTTTATTTTTTAGCAATTGTTATATTTCTACCGCAATTTTCATGTTTCTCCCGCATAATACCAAATTCTCCCGCAATTTGAAAATTTTGACCTGACAACCCTGCTCATTCAATACGTTAATATAAATTACATTATATTAACCATTATAATTTATAAGATATTAATAATTAATAGATCCACTATGTATCTAAAGTCAGTAGGTACTTATCAATTGGATGTAAAAATTGTATTGATTCCACTATCAATATATTTAAAAAATATAAGAAGCAATAATTCTATTGATTTGATTAGAATAAAAGCTTAAAAACTTTTAACAAAATTTAAACTCACTCCCCACAAATCATCAAGGGTACGTAAAACGCCTATAAATTTTTAAGATTTTTTAGTCGAAACCAAATTACAATTTGATTGCGAAAAAGACTCCAATTAGAGTTCTTTAAAATAGAATTAGTATGAAATTATTTTACTTTGTTGATAATTTTTTAGATAGATTTACACAAGATGATTATAATCTATCAAGTTTTAATGCATTGCCCCCCCCCCCCTCCTTGATAGTGATTATTTTATATCGTACAAAATGACCCGATTAGAATAATTATTAAACTTAAATATGGAAACTTTACATCATGAGATGAAGATTGGCCTATAGATTATTAGCTGCAGAAGATATACATAATTTTGAAAATATCCTAAATATTATGTATAAAAATATATCATCATGCATTTAAAGAATTGTAACGGCTTCTTGTGTGGCATATTTCTCTATAATAAAGAGAGTTCTATCGAGCACTAGAGGGTCGATGAAAGATCAAAGTAAGCAAAATTTAGTATTGATGGCTTATGATAAAATTTAATAAGAAATTTATCCTTTAATTCATTTATGTTAAAATTTAAAAATAAAAATCGTCGTATTATATTATATTATATTATAGTATTATTTTTGTATGTTCATATTATAGTATTATTCTGTATTCATATAACATTAATAATTTTTTAATAAAAATAGCAAATAATTTATATAAATTCTTAATTATTTGTTTTATTTTTAAAAAAATATTGGCCCCCTAAGTAAGTAGCTGGCCCCCCTAACAGAAAATTCCTGGCTACGGCCCTGTGCCTCACCGAAATATGTTTATCATGTGAAGTTTCTGCTACATTTTAACAGGTTACATTGATTTATCATTTTAGTTATTATCAATGTTCCCTACTAATTTCCTTACCTTTAAACACATTAAGCTCTACCCTAAGAAGAATTGCGCTTTTTGTACTCTACACTATGTAGGCTAAAGTAATTTTAGTGTATCTTTATGGTTTACGTCAATATGTGCAAAGCCTAGAACCTTTATCATGTTTTCATCATAACCTGTTAATTTTATGTATATGTTTTTGCTTCCTATTTTATTAGCTACAAGATGCGACTGAATTGTAAATATTGTGCCAGTATCTATTTACATCTTTGTCACTACATTATTAAGTTTATGTGTCACTTTGTATTCGTTATTCTCCTTGTCTCAAGACCTTCTTCCAAACTATTAATACATATGTTTAGCAGATCGCAATCTTAAGTTATGTTGTCCAGTGGCGTCGCTAGGAGGGGTCGCTCAGGGGCTCGAGCCCCCTGTAAATTTTGAATAGCCCCCTGAAGCAAAAATTTTTTTTTAAATTGCTCCTTAATATCCCCTTGAACTAAAAATAAATTTTTCTAATTATCCCCGATTTCTTTTATAATTCTATTGAGTAATATATCGATTTAATTTTATTCTTTAAAAATTAATAAAAATATCTAAATTTTTATTATATGAATACTATTTTAATTATTAGATTAGATTATACGTATAAATTATATGTTCACTCTGTCAGCTTGCAATCAAATTCTGTGTTAAAAATATATCACTTACCAAATATTAATTTAGCATTAACAGTTGAAGCTTAATTGACTTTTATTATTTAAATTATTATATAACCTTAATTAAATAAATATAATCATTTATTAATTGAAAATTAACAAATCTAATATTGTAATTAGTGGAGTTCAAAATCACTAATCAACTACATTTTGATTTTTAAATTTAATTATCATATCTCTTCCTAAAATTATTTTCAAGGTCCAAATCCAAATGAGTATAAGTTATTTATTTATAAAAAGTAAGTAGATAAATAGTTTTTAATCCTTTATAATATATAATTATTTATAAAATATTAGGTAAAATGCCACTTTTACAGACATATTTGACAGTTATATAATATATTACAGTTTAAAATTTTAATAATAAATACTTTTGATAATAAATACGCCATCTATTTATTAAATATATTATTAAATTTAAACTTCTTATTATTCATCCCACAATAGATTTAATAAATTAGATATCTTTACTTCTCTTTTTTTTACATGTTTTTAGGAATGCTATTTTTTTCTTCTTTGAAAAACAGTTTTAAATTACATTTTTAATACGAATATATTTTTGATATTATTACAATCTATTATTATTTTAAGATATAATATACCAGCTAGAGGTGGTGCAATAATAATATATAAAATCTTAATTACTTTCATCATATCACTCTGGTCTGGTTTATAGTTACAAAATGTTTCATTTCTAATATGGCATTCTTGCCGTGTAAATAACTCAAAACTTCATTTGCATAATTTCTTCTAAATATTTTTTGTTTTTGTTTTATCAATTTATCTAACATAATAAATTCTGATATGGGGTACCATCATGAGTGTCATGCTATGACTGCAAATTAGCCAGCATCTATTATTTGTGTGACTATGTAATTTAAGATTATTACTATAGCTGCTGACAGCATATGATTGCATATTATAGATAAGCAATAATGGTCAACGGTGTAGTAGTTTATATATCATAAAAAATGGAAGATAATCTTTTAGAAATTTAATATCTCACAAAAATTTTATCGATTACTTATCTAGCTTCCATCATGTCATCTAAGAGGAAGCTCTAGCCACCATATAGTTTTATGATTTGGATTGGTCGTTTATATTTTCTTCTTCAAGAATTGTTGATTTGGTTAGGCCTATAAAATTTTCCTTATTAGTCCATTCTATAAATGTCTAAAATGGTAACAGAGAGTTATATTAGTTTCATTACCTTTTGTCAATGTAACTTGCTAGAATTATATAGCCTTATGTGGTTTTTAAAAACCATTATCAATTGAGGCATATGTATGAATTAATTAACCTTTTTTATCACTTGTAATTCTTTACGCAAAATTTTTTTATATCAGCAATCGAAAATATTTTATACTGTAATAAATAGATTTTGTATTTAAAATTATTTTTAGGAATGTCTTGTTTTGTTTTAATTATTTATTTGCAAGTTTATTTTGTATGCAAAATATTATAAATAACAAAATTTGAAATTCAGAATAATTGTCTAGAATTAGCATATTTTAAAAATGTATAATATATTTATATAAAACCCGGCCGAAGGCTGGATGGAGGCGTAGCCCCCCACAATTTTTTTTAAGCTGAGCCCCCTTAGATTGTAAAGGCTAGCGACGCCCCTGATGTTGTCACTTTTGTCATTTTGTCACTTTCTAGTTCTTCAAAATTAATTGTCTTTAAAAAAAATTTTGGGCCGGGCCGGGATTGAAGAATTAGGCCCGATGCAGATCACTAATTCTATCTTAAGCAAAGGCTAACAAGCCATTAACATATCCTACTTTCATTGTAAGCTCCCCCCTTCACCCCCCCCCCCCTCCCAACAAGGAGCTATTCAAATATATATATTTTTAATTAATTTATAATCCAACAGTCTGTTTTAACATATTTTTTTTATAATACAAATAATAATAAACATGTTAATTTTATTTTTACGATTCGTTATCGTTATGCGCTCTATCTAACAGAACATACATGTTTGTGTTCAAATGACCACTGTCAATCCTCTTATTTTAACAAAACCAATAGATTAATGCACTTATTAGCGCCAATTTTTCCTTATAAAGGCGGTTTTTTTGAGAATTGTTTTAAATATTATCCAAATGGTTTCATCTCCTAAGAAGAAATCGTTTTCTGTACAAAATGTAATAATTATTTATATATATATATGTAACATATTTGCTAAAAGATATCAATCGAAGGAAATATTGGCAGTGGCAAGACTTCATTTACAAACTACTTTTTAAACAATCCCAATATACAAGTATTTCCATATTTTATTCGTAATAATTTATTTTAAATAAGGTGTTCCCTGAACCAATAGATAAATGGAGAAATTTATGTGGACACAACCTATTAGTATATTTAAGCATTATTAAAATATATTTAATTTTTTTTACAGGATTTATACTATGCTGATCCTGTAAAATGGGGGTTTGCATTTCAAATGTTTGTTCAAAAATCATTGATGGATATAATCTATAAACCTACTGTAGATACCTAATTATTTTATATAAATTTCAAATTTCTTAGAAATGTCCTTATAAAATAATTGAACGATCAATATATTCTGCAAAATATACATTTGTTGAAAATATGCATAATAAGTAAATAAGCCCTTTATTCCTTTATTATAAATAAATTTTAGGAAAACTATAAATGATGTTGAATACTTAGTTTATTCAGAATGGTTTGATTTTTGTTCCAAAGTGCTCCCACTTAAAATTGATTTGATAAGTTTAACTATTTTTCTATTAATTTAATCTATTTCTTGATATAATTAGTCTATATCAGAACAGACCCTATAATATGTTACCACAGAATAAAAGAAAGAGGAAGAATAGAAGAAACAATGATTTCATTGGTAATCATTTTTTTAAAATATATATTATTATACATTATTAGGACCTATTAAATGAACTACATGAATTACATGAAAGTTGGCTTATAAAGAAGTATTTTACAGATTTTGACATACCAGTTTTGGTAATATTTGTAAAAATATAGATTTTAAACATAATATATATATATAGGTCCTGGATGGAAATCAGTCAAATAAATTCATGGAAAAACATGCCTCTCAAGTTATGAAAGATATGTTTGAAAATATTATAATACATAAACATCTGTCAAACAATTGTGATCGGTCACCTTTAAAGCAGTTGTATGGAAATTGTTCCAAATTTTATGATTTTTAATATAAGACTTATTTAAAAACAATGCAAAATGAATAATATAATGGAAATATTTATTATAATAATTTTTAAAATTTTATTTGACATAAATTATTTTCATTTTTAAATAATAAAATATTATATGAAATCAAATTCCAAATTAATTCCTCATATTATTGCTGGCTTCATGGCCAATAAAAAACCATCACCTTCACTTAATTCATGTGGGTTAGGTCTAGAGCTATATGCTGGATGAATAAATACATTTTATATCATATTAAGTCTTGTGTAGTTAAGACTTGTTCATTTTATATTCTTCTAAAAGATACATGTCAATGGTTCCTTTTATTATTAATTTTTAACTATATATCTTATAAACTAATTTAATTCAATTGACCTTTTAAGTTTATATAATATCACAACAAAAATGAACTGCTTGTTGGAGCTTTATTTCTTTAAAAAAAACTTGAGGAGATTTAGGTGTAGTAGTATTTAAAGTGGTGACATTCATATTTATATAATTTATCCAAACTCCTTCCAGGAGCTTTATATCGATTTCTCTGAGGAAATGCATTCGAAAATAAGGGAATTATCTCCCCCAAGTAGGTAAAAATTTAGAAATGTTTTTTACTTCAACCTTCACTGTAAATTTGTCCAACACTTCAATTTTGCCATTGTTATACCCTACTAGTTTATATACAGGTGATAGTGGTTTGCCAATAATCTCTAGGCATATATCACACTGCAACAGCACTTATATAAAATTCCATACAAATCAGTTACATATCAATGGTTGCCCAAAAAAATACTAATTGCACAGTAATAAAATTCAAACGCTCAGATTAAGAAATGAATTGCTTAGAAAAATATATGAAACGTTCAGAACTAGTCATTTAATCGCTCAGAAATATTTTTTTCTCAACTATTTGAAATTTGTATACGATTATAAATTTCAAAAATAAATATTGCCCTTTCTGGTCCCTATGCACTATTGAATTTTGGTTTAGTGAAATATCTTTGAACAAGGTTCGGATGGGTTTAGAGTTTTTGGTCCAGAAAATTAAATAATTATATAAAATTTAGTGTAAAAACAGAAACATCAATTTTTCATCAACTTTATTTTACTATAACTAGGTCTTATCATAAAAATTACTCATTATAATTAGAATATAGGCGAATTATCATGGTATCATCCAAAATAGAGATGTTAAAGTAAAATATCGATTTTTTATGCCTAACTTTGACATTGCATTACAATTCGTAATTAATAAAGTTATTTTACAAGAAATCTTAATTTATATTAATGTTTTCATAATTTTTCCATATTTTTAATGTAAATTATAATTTCTTCAAATGTTCAATATAAAATTTAGGGTTAAACTGTATCAGGTCAATTCAGCGAAACTTATCTCGAATGTCGTTTATCGCGAAAAGTTTTTATAGCGAAGGTAAAATCGCGAAACTAATTCTGCGAATTTATCTCCGCGAAACATTTATAGCGAAGACAATTTCGCGAAGCCATTGTCGCGAATTTATTAGAGCGAATACATTTTACGCGAATACTTTACAGCGAATTTTTTATCGCGAATATGTTTGCGCGAAGTCATTACCGCGAAACAATAAATATATTGCAAATGCATTTATTTAAAAGAAAAATATATTATTTATTATTTGATGTTTTTTAATAAAAAATGATATGCTGCTATTGTAATATTATTTTTGTTACAATTTATTAGTGATTTTCACGCTCAAGATTTTAAGTAAAAAATATTTCTTGAAGTTCAAAAATTTTTTTGAACATATGATAAAAATTTTAAATCTTTTTTGTAAATATATCTTTTTTAAGGAATTCTTTTGTGAAATTTATTATAAATATACAATTTTTAGGTGAAATCTTTATAGTTTTTTTTATCATATTTGTAAAATTATCTATTTCTTAAGTATAGGCTAAAATTTCATGAAGATCTACCATTGAAAAGTGACAATTGTCATAATTGTTATTTTTAAAGTTTTTTGACCAAAATAGGTTAAAATATGTATTGCTAGTATGCTTAAATAAAATAAAACTTCAGTGAAGATGTACCCTAGATAAGTGACAATTATTATAATCATTATTTTTAAACTTTTTTGAATTCTTTTGTTGTGAATGGATAAAAGTATAGATTGTAAACATGCTAAATTAATATTTCATGAAGATGTACCATTGAAAAGTGACATTTGTCATAATCGTTATTTTTAAAGTTTTTTTAATTTTTTTGACCAAAATGGGTAAGAATAAATATTGCTAGCATGTTTAAATAAAATTTCAGTGAAGATGCACCCTAGATAAGTGACAATTGTCATAATCCTTATTTTTAAAGTTTTTTGATGCAAATGGGTAAAAATATAGATTGTAAACATGTTAAATTAGAATTTCATGAACCATAAAAAAGTGACAATTGTCATAATCGTTATTTTATAACTTTAAAAAATTTTTTTGACGTAAATGGACTAAAATAAGTATTGCTAACATGTTAAAATAAAATTTCAGTGAAAATGTACCTTAGATAAGTGACAAATTGTCATAATCGTTATTTTTAAAGTTTTTTGAATTTTTTTGACGCAAATGGGTAAAAAAATAGATTGTAAACATGTTAAATTAAAATTTCAGTGAAGATGTACCCTATATAAGTGACAATTGTCATAATCATTATTTTTAAACTTGTTTGAATTTTTTTGACGCAAATGGGTAAAAATATAGATTGTAAACATGTTAAATTAAAATTTCATGAGGATGCACCATAGAAAGGTGACAATAGTCATAATCGTTATTTTTAAAATTATTTGAATTTTTTAGACCCAAATGGGCAAAAATATAAATTGCTTACATGTTAAAATAAAATTTCAGTGAAGATGTACCATAGATAAGTTACAATTGTCATAATCGTTGTTAATAAGGTTTTTTTGAATATTTTTGTTGCAAATGGATTAAAATATAGATTATAAACATTCTAAATTAAAATTTTATGAAGATATACCATTGAAAAGTGACAATTTTATAATCGTTATTTATAAAGGTCTTTGATGTAAATGGGTTAAATAAAATATAGATTGTAATCCATTTTAACCATAATAAAATCTTAACATTAAATTTATAGGATGTTAATTGTATCATATTACTAAATAATATTCATATGGTTTTTAAGTTCTTTCTATAAAAATCCTACCCTGAATTCAAACTCATCACTATTTTGCCACGAGTATACAAAAATATTTGCTAACTGTGAATGCAAGGTTATACATTTTTATAATGTAGAATTAAAATTTATTAATTAAAGGAATAAGATTGTGAATCCATATCTTAAAAGTTTAGAATTTAACATAGGTTACAGCTATCTTTACTAATCACTTTGCATATTTTTATCAAATTTTAAGCAGGATAAAAGGAACAACGATTATGAGATTGAAAATATCGATTTGTTTTTTTGTTTGGACTGAAATTTTATTTTAACATGTTAACAATTTAAATTTTTATCCAATTGCGTCAAACAATTCATAAACTTAAAAATAACGATTATAACTATTATCACTTATCTAGGGTACATCTTCACTGAAATATTATTTTAACATGTTAGCAATTTATATTTTAGCCCATTTGCTTCAAAAAAATTTAAAAACTTTAAAAAATAACGATTATGGTAATTGTCAATTTTATATGATACATCGTCATGAAATTTTAATTTGACATTTTTACAATCTATATTTTTACCCTTTTATATCAAAATATTTCAGAAAACTTTAAAAACAACGATTATGACAATTGTCACCTATCTATGGTACATCTTCATTGATATTTTATTTTAACATGTTATCAATACTTATTTTGGCCCATATACGTCAAAAAAGTTTAAAAATAACGATTATTACAAATGTCACTTTTCTGTGGATCTTCATGAAATTTTAATTTTACAATCTATATTTTCCATTTGCATCAAAAATACTTTAAAAATAAGGGTTATGACAATTGCCACTTATCTAGGGTACATCTTCACTGAAGTTTTATTAATACATGTTAACAATACTTATTTTAACTGATTTACATCAAAAAATGTTAAAAAACTTTAAAAATAACGATTATGATAATTGTGACTTTTATATGGTGCATCTTAATTAAAATTTTAATTTAACATGTTAAAAATACATATTTTACCATAAAAAAAATTTATTATGTTTAAAAATACCGATTATGATAATTGTCATTTTTCCAAGGAACATCTTCAATAAAGAATATAAAAATTGTCAGATTAAATTATTATCCTTAAAACGATCATATACATAAATAATTTAAATAAAAATATTTTTAAAAAATATTATTTAGAAAACCCACCTCTTTTAATTTACTTAAAAAATAGATAATTTTACAAAAATGATAAAAAAAACTATAAAAGATTTCACCTAAAAGATTGTTTATTTTTTATAAAATTCACAAAAGAATTCCTCAAAAAAGATTTAAAATTTTTATCAAAATATGTTTTAAAATCTTTCTGAACTTCAAAAAATATTTTTTGCTTAAAATTTTGGGCGTGTGAAGATCACTAATAAATTGTAACAAAAATAAAATTACAATAGTAGCATATCATTTTTTTTATAAAAAAAATATCAAATAAAAGAAATCCGTTTTTCATTTCATTTCATTTCATTTCATTTCATTTCATTTCATTTCATTTCATAATATAATAATATAAATAAAAAATATATATCATGATATAATATGTTTATTTGTTGATAAATAAAATATTAACATTAAATATAAATAAAATAAATTATTTTAATAAAAAAAAATAAATAATAATAGGCCGCGTTATATTTCGCGAAATAGTTTTCGCTATATTGTCTTCGCGATTTATGTTTTGCGATATTGACTTCGCTATAAAATTTTCGCGATTATTGATTCGCGATAAAAATTTCGCTCTAATGTATTCGCTTTAAAGGTTTCGCGATAAGAGTTTCGCTATAAAAAATTTGCGATATTTGTTTCACTATAAACGACATTCGCGATAAAAATTTCGCGAAAAAGTGTTTAGC